AGTTCTGGCAACTAAAACGCTTATTTCACCAACGTTTACAAGTTTAGTATTGATCACATCTTATTGGAAATTTAACGTGGTTTTCAATGGTATCTACAGATTTCTCCAAAAAATTTAGTTTTGGAGCTATCATAGTTTATTTGAAGCAAGGTCGAGAAATCTTAAAAAAATCAGAAAAAGGGGAATAACCCCGAAACTGTTGAGTTAATTAGGACTTTTGGTTACATTTTGAATGTAGAATCTAATGGCAAAGTTTGTAACACGAGTAGCCGGAAACCCTGTATATTATTAATCTGGTATCTTAGCGTGAAGCTATTCACAATTTCCTTCCGTAGTTGTCAAATTATTCCGTGAGATTTCTTCTTAAGATTTGGGATGATGAACTTGAAGTTTGGCCGTTCCCTGTCAACTTGGTCCGCGTATTCTCGCTGTTTTCGGTCTATAATAGAGGATTTTAGGCGTTCCGCAATGTATAATGATTGGGTCTGTCTGTCCCTTTGATGTTTGACGGAACAAGGCGGAATCTTTATCTTATATGTCCGCCTACCCTAGCTGCATCCATCCCATAATTTTGAGCTTATTATTAGTATTATTATTAATTAACTGGGGTGATTGCAGAAAAAGGTTTTTTAATAAAGCTTGAGGAGAAAGAACCTCTACTTGACTTACAGAACTGGTCAGGGTTAACCAGGGGTGAGTCGCTGCTGAACACGAATACCGAAATGTCTGACATATCAAAACACCTTTCATAGGGGGAGTAGAAAATTGTTTTCAGATAAAACTTTAGGGAAATAAGAATTCTTCTTGGGTTACAAAATGTGGTCAGGGTAAAAGCAGGGTGAGGCACCAGTGAACATACAATGCCGAAAGGCATCTGGCATAGTAAAACAGCTATAATAGGTGTAGGAGTAAAATGTTTTCAGATAGAGCATTAGGGAAACATTAGCTCTTCTTGGGTTTCAAAACTGAGGGTGAAGCTCACAACTCAAACTCACTACTGAGGATGCTAAATATGTCCAAATATTTTGTTGAGGGGATTCTAACTAGGGTTCTTCACAAATAAAATAAATATATAAAAAACTGAGTAAAAAGGAGACATGGTTTTTGTCAGTGCCTCATGATTATTACCCTAAGCGTTAAAAAATATGAAGAAGTACTGAAACACACAACAGATCAAAACAGTGAGAATAGGCAGACAAAAAATATTCCGAAACGACCATACTAATGTGTCAGATGGAGTTGTGTACTTTGCCCCAACCTGCTTATAACCCTAATCCACTGCTGAATACAACAAAAAGCTGATATGCATTTGACTAAGTAAAACAGCGAGAACAGGCCAGAATGTCCAGAAACAAGACTATTCTGATATTTGGTGAGTACGACTAAACCACATGTTCTACAAGCAGTCAGGGATATAAACAGGGTATGGCACGAATAAAAGCCCAGACTATAGAGTTAAATGGTGGGCTTGTCGCCCCACACCCTCCTTCCAATAGATCTGTCCAATCCAACTTTCCTATGTGGAACATCCAATAACCTATAACTGGTAAAATATGTCTATTAAGCATTAAAGGTAAACCCTGTGTACAGTTTTATAATAACAGTAAATTTAATTTAACCTAGTGCTATATGGGGAAAATATTTGACCCATCTGAAATGCAATAAAAAACATTATTAAAAGAAAGTGACAGCATTGATGGGCTGGATCTACAGAGAAGCTCTCACATATGTATCTTGGGCACTGTCAATAGGAGGCCCTGCTTGTAGAAGAAGGGTTATCCTCGCACGATTAAGAATAGGTCATGCAAGGTTGACCATAGAAACTTACTTTAGGTCAAAGCTCGCGTAGAGAAATGTTGCTCGATGTGTCCCAGCTATTGAAGGGTTGTCTCCATTTACTATGTAGGAATGGTATCCAGTAATAGTGTTTGAGTACAGCAGCGAATATCTGCCCCCCCCCCCCCTATTCCAACCTGTTGTTTGTTTTATTGTATTTAATACTGACAGTTCTGAGTCCATAGTGTGTGTTGAGAGTAAATGAATGTGTAATGTGAGAAGGCTGATGATGGATTTTCAGGAGCCAGTAGACTTTCAGTTAGGTTAGTTATAATACGTTGTATAGATTTCTTGAATGTATTTAGAGGGGGCATCTATGGCTGGAATGTTTAGGTGTTTTGTAAGGTAAAGGTTTGAACCCGAAATACTTACAAACGGGCTTTTTTTTCTTTTTTTTAATTTAAAAAGCACTGACACTTCAAGGTTTTATATAACCTCATAGTTAAACTACCCTCGTTTGTTAAGTTTGCCTTTCCACTAATACGATGTAAAAAGAGTCACTACATAAGAAATTCATTTTAGTGGTCAATTACAATTGTATTTCAAGAAAAGGAAAAAAGTCAAAAACCACTGTAACTTTGTACAACTTGTATATTCTACACACAATCCATTACAAACAATCGTTAAAACATTTCATAAATTAAATATCAAGTGGAATAAATATTTTAAAAAAATCCCTACATACAAAACAACTTAAGCTTATCTTGAGGGATATACTTTGGGAATTTTGTAGATGTAAAGATTGTCCTTTTTTTCCATCATGCATGTGCAGAATAAAATGAAAAATTCACCTAGAACAGCTATTATCTAGTTTGTAGCTACCTAATGATGGGTAACTTTTCAAATAGATTATTTGAAAAATGTTAACCGACATATGACTAAACCATTTTTTTTTTTTTTTGTTTAATTTAACAATCACAACACAAAATGGTTTTTATATCCTATTGGTCACAATGTAATTATCGAGTTGATAGTCTTAGAAAATCAAACTTCTAATTGTAATTGACCTCATTTGTCTTGCAATAAACAAAAATGATACTGCCAATCATTGTAAGCTCAACCTTCTAGATTTGAATGAATTGATCATTTTTCAAGGCTTTGAAAAAAAAAAAGTAATTATCACAGATAACATAGTTATTCACTATTAAATATGTTGTTTAAAAAAAAAACAAATATCTCTGTTTCCCAAATGCACAAATTGTTCTCCGCGGTTTTAAACATTTTTGAGTCCAAATTTATTCGAAAATTATCTTTTAAATTGGATGAAGAATTAAGTATTTTATGCTAATAAATCATCTAAATGTAACATTTCTCTTTAAAAAACAAATTATGGGTTTTATTGATTTTTATAAATCCAATGTTTTTATCCTTACCAATCATCTTGGCCTGCATCGTTTCAGACCATCCCAGCGATGATATGCACACAATGATCTGTAAGGATTAAACAACTGGTCCATCACTATATAGGCACAGGAGGAAATTTCACAAATTAACTCAATATTTCTACTAACAATTAATTTTGTTTGGCAGTAATGGTTTAAAAGTGATTAAATTTTTGTTCTCGCACATTTACACTTCTGGTGGTAGGTCATTGGTTGCTAGATTTTAAAAACTACTTTTAAACACAGCTTTTACGGTTAGATAAAATAGTAGATTTAAAACGCAAGCTGTTCTGTTAGACAAACAATTGCTAGTAAACAACTTTAACAAAGTTCAAATGCCATTTATTATTTATTATTTTGAATAACAGGATCATTTGGCTTATTTTAATTGGTTTAGAATTTTTTTGAAGCTATATGAAGGAGAAACTTCTGTGGAAGTGCAAAAAAACTGGTTTTAAATATATTATGTTATATTACAAATACAATTTACCCAAAATGGGCTCTTTGTAAAATTTAAAACCATTCTGAATAAAACTTTATTGATTGCTCGGATCTTTTAAGGCGTTTTATTAGAAATAACTATAATTTTTCCCTCAAAACCACAAGAAAAACAACTGAATAGTAAAAGATCTGTTTAGATAAATTTAAACCTGCGATTATTAACTTTGCCAGTATTGACAAGCACACCAAGCCGTTAAGACAACATCGACATCGCATTGACACAACAAATGCATCATTTACGAAAATGAAATTTTTCAATTTCATTTTCCAGTATGGAGTAAAACCAATTACTCTTTATAAACACGTTACTTATCGCTCATAGCCTCGTCCTCTATAAAAATTCCCAAAGAGTTAACTCGTTTACCCAGAAAAATTATGTCGCTTACAGTCGTTAACATTTCAATTATTTGATAAAACATAGAAAAAAGAATGCAAACGACAACCTCTTGTTTAAAAAATCTTTTATCATAGCAGATGCTTTCTTACTTGGCAAAAATATACATCTTGAATTTCTTATATTTGTATTTTGAAAAATAAAAGTACTACAGCTACAATTTCTAAAAGTGCTCTGCGTAAGTCTTAGCATCAGTCAAATAAAAATGAAACCACATTGAAATTTAACGTCGGGGGGATGAGAAATTAGCAAAAACTTCATGGCTTAAATCATAAATTGTTTTGGAAAATATTTCTGATTTTTTCCCGGGGAATGGAAGAATGTGTCAAAAACAAAATTCAAACACCGTTTCCTTGATAGAAATAAATGGTGAAAAATGACTTTATCTTGAAAAATGATTGCACCATTTGAAAAACTTCTGCTACTTGATAACTGAAAATCAAATTCTCTCCCTAACCATCCCTAACCAATTCTCTAAAATTGATAATTAACAAAAATGCTGTAATCTGTATATTAAGATGAATTGATTATGCAAAATATACAAAACAATTAAGGTCAGTATGAAACTCAAGACTGAAAATGATATATTGAACAAATAACTTTTACTAGTAAAATAACTATTTACCTACTTTGGAAAAATAAAATAATTATTTTACAATATAGCTTTTTTTTTGTTTGAGCTGATTTTCCAAAATTGTCAGTATAGCATATATTATGTCTTTACTTCCTTATTGAACATTAATAAAAATTTTTCTTAATCAACAATAATAAAAAGCTTTGTTTAAAATATCTTTTAACAATGAACAATCAATATAGTAACAGTAAAACAAAAGAAAACCATTTATTTTAAAATATTGAAAATCTTTTCTAAAAATAACTAGCACATAATGACATCATTTTAATAAAAAAAAGTCATTTTTATTAAACAATAAATAAATCTTTCATGGTTTCATTTTAAAAAGAGATCTTGTAAAGTGATTCCAAAATATTTGTCTAGACCTAAAAAAGAAAAAAAAAATGAAAATCTCTTCTCCGTCTGATTCTCTGCAAATTAAAAGGAAGGAAACACTTATCACAATATTGTGCTACATCTGGTTTTGATAGATAGTATAAGTTTTTATCACAAAATTTTTGTCAGGGGGTAGTCGAACAATTTAGTACTCTTCCTTGTCCGCCTGCGGCGGATCCTTTGTACAACGGTAATCCGGGTTGTCGTCGAGAAATTTTTTCAACTTGGAAGGGTAGTCAGTCATGATCCCTGTCACCCCCAAGTCATACACCTTTTTGAACTCGTTCTCATGGTTCAGAACCCAAACATACGTCTGAAACATACAAAACACAAGTTAGAAAATTTTAACAGTGTTTATAAATCAATAAGTTTTTAAAGAAACTTGCTATACATATTCAGACCACATGATAATTCCTTAATAGATTATTGTCTTTATTAATTTGTTTAATATCTTACATATAATCAATTTTCATTAGCAACATCAAACTACACAAGAGAAAATAATCGCAGGATTTTATGTTAAAAAAATTCATGCAATGCCACTACCTGAATTCCTCGTTTTCTTAAATGAGCGAATAAAATTTTACTCATTAGTAAATAGTCCATTGTGTGGACTAAAAATGTTGGCAAAGTCATCATGAAATTTCCCTCTCTCTCCCTTGAGTGACTTCTCCTGAAAACAATACATTGAAATACATTTTGCACCTGTTAGGCATAAAAGGACAATAAGCTAGTTAGAATTTAAATTATAAACAAATTGTCTGAATTGCATCAGCTTATTTGTCGATTTTAAGTTCAAAAGATGACTGATTTCTTATTCTATTAGGAAAAAAGTTAAGAGATTTGTTGAATTGATGTGACTGTTTTTAACAAATTTGATCAATGTTTCACTGATTTAATTTGTGCTCTTTTGTATAAAGTGACCATATTTTTGTTTCCAATTGTACATAATTGCAAAATTCAAGAGGTTGGTGTTCACACAACCTGCAAACAAGTTGTTCTATGTATATTTTATGAGATGTCCTTCATTGATCTGTAGGGTGATGAACCTGTGATTTGATCCTTGCCATCAGTAGTAATCCTGTCCTCACCAGGTTGGTCTGTCAGATGTAGGATGTGTCTGCAAAATGCAGAAACGCTTCTGATAGACCAACTCAGCAAGGATGGGCAAGGATCAAATTGCATGAATATTTTTGACTGGTTTTGAAGTTTTCTCTTTACTCCACTTGGCAATCATTAAATCTCAAACTAATCTGAAGACTGGTTAACTGAACCATCTAGCCATGGTGAATGCTTTCTGTGTTTTTCATTAATATTTGCTCCTACCATCCCACTAATAATTTATACTATGTGTATTTTTGTGAGGTTTCCTCCTTGGTCTGTAAGGTGATGAACCTGTACCTGTGATTTGATCCTTACCATCTTTGGTCTGTGTCCCCGATGGGTTAATGATCGATAAGGATCAACTAACTAATTTTCTATTACTTTAACTTTTACTCTTTAGCTCTATGGTACTTGTAGACTTTGATCTCCTTTAGGCCTCTTTCAGATGACTATGAAATGATTCAACTAATTGCACAGACAGGTGTCAAGGAGTGTAACCATGGAGCAAATTATTGAGAACCGCCTGAATCAAGTAGTCTGCCCATGCAAGTGGCCAGCAAGCACAAGTGCTGCCCAAGTTCTCATCCCCACTGGTTGACTAAGCACAAAAGGCTGTTATTGCATCATTAAAGAAATTCATATTAGTTCCAAATATGGGGCATGAAGTGTGAGTTTAGCAACAAATTTAAAACAATTGAAGCTTAGAGGGAAGTGGTAATAGTTTTCAGAAAGCGTCTCTTTCCTTTTTTCTTTTTTTAACAGGAAGTGCTGCTTCCTTGGGTTTTAACATCTCCTGTTGGAAATAGAAGTTGATTTCACAAGTTGCCTCGTGTGAAATCAGCCAAGAAAAGTTTTCACCAACAATCAACTAGTTGAGAGTCACCCAGGCAACTTAGCTGAATCAACCAATCTCCCTTGTCTGAAAGAGGCCAGGTGTTCAGTTCACTAGCCTTCTGGTCTCTTACTCCCCGGATGTCCCTCATAAGTCCTCAAAAAAACCCACACCTATTATGTGAAGAAAGTCCAGCCAACACATAGTACACCGATCAAATACATCTCCTGGTAATGGTATAGATTCTTTTGTTCCTCATGTTTTCTTTTTATACCTCCATAACTAGTCCAAAACAAAACCCTCAGAATAGTATGAATCACCCTTGAATATTTTCTATTGGTTTTGAGGTTTTCCATGTTCAATGCTGTTCTTATCTGTTCAATGGGCAGGGGGGGGATAATTTTGTTTCGCCCGCATTTAACTTTTACTCTTTAGCTCTACAGTAGGGTGACCTCCTTTAAGAAGATTTGCCAGGTTTCCACATCCTGGAGGCATCTTAAACGTCTTCCTCATGGTCTTCTCACCACCTGGATGTCTTTATGCTGTTCTCCCAGATTCTTTAGTGATAGCCACCCTTACTACTCTCCTGGTACAACTTAAACTAGAAATGTACTGGTTGAGCATTCTCTAAAAACTTGTTGTTTAAATTCAATTAATTTATTCTAAAAGTTTGTAAATAAGGCCAATTTGTCTAGACCAGTGGTTCTCGACCTTTCCCAATCTGTGTACAGTTTGAATTCTCAGAACTTACACCTGACCCATTATCCTCTTCACTCATTTAGCAGTTTAATTATTTAATAAAATTATTACTTTTATGTATTGTTGTTATAAATTATTATTTATACGTATTTTAATTAATTTGAGTCAACTCAGCAGATGCGCGTTAGTCTATGCATGAAAACAGAATAATAAAAAATATATATATCTTTGTGTAACATTTAGTGACTGTTAAGTAATGATTATTTAGAGGTCGCGAGATGTTCGTTTAGAAAAACATTTTCTTTATTGTGCCGACATATCGATCTTTATTGTGATTATCTTCAGGGCTCAGTGTGTTTACACTCTCAACACGACACATAACAGTGACACATCTACACAGGAAACACACACTTTGAGCCCTGCAGATTATCTCAATATTTTTTTTTTAATAAAGATCAAAACGTTGGCACAATAAAGAAAATGTTTTTCTAAGCCTAGATCACATGAGACTGCATCTCATGATCTACAAATAATCATATATCTTTGTATTCAAAATAAATGCTTCTTCCTTTTCTTAATAAAGCCAATTTGTCTAATTAGAGATTCTTAACCTTTCCCATACCTCTTACTGTTCAGATCCACAGCATTCCTCTTACCTACAATATAATACATCATATCCTCCACTCGCCTTTCCAAACATATGTCCAGTCATAGGAAGCAATTTCATTCAATATTTTCACAAAATGATGAGTACGACAATAGAATTCTCATCGGCCAATGATATCATAAAAATTGAATTAAATGAGATGCTGGAGGATCAATAAATATTTAATAATTAATGTGGAATTTTTGAGCCTGTATTAATGAACAAAGTTTTGCAAAAAAATTGGCTTAAATAAGGATAGATATATTCTCAAATCCTTATTTTAGTATGCTCCTGTTTTATTTTTTGTGTAAAAATAAGAAGAAAATGCCCATTCTACAAGCCCAGTGTTATGATGCTCTCCCAATTTTAAAGGTTAGTCTTTGGCGAGGGTTTCCTGGACCATTTTCCCTCTAGTCATCTGACAGGATTATAGGAATTGGTTATATTAAACACAGATTGGGTTGATGGGTTCGAGTGAACGGAGGGTTTATCGAGGAACATAGAGAATTTGGAGAATAATTTTTGTACAAACAGTATTTTGAGGTCGTTGTGGAAGGTAGTATTGGATCAATAGGGTCAATAGGGAGCATTGACTATGATTCTGAGGACTTTGAATTGGAAGGACTGAATTCATTGGATATTGGCAGGTTTACTGGTACCCCACAGTTCCAGTTCATTGGCCCAAATAGGTTTTAGTAATGTTTTGTAGAGTGTTTGAACCATATGTTTAATCCCTGTCTTTTTCATTTGGTGTGTCTGTTCCAGGTGGAATGTGAGTCAAGATAGAACCAAAAGTAGTGCAGTTGGTTTTTAGGTGTAGTTGAGGAAAATTGCATGAGGGGTTTTGCTTAGGATGTAAATGTAATTTGGATGAATTTGTTTTAATTAATTGTTATCATCCTTTATACATTTGGCTATTCATCATATGTGTGCCTTGAGCCCCCCCCACAGGTTTGAGATAAGAGGAAAGCTCTCTTGTATCATCAGCAAGGGATGCAAGGAGGGTAGAGGGAGTAGTTGGGATGGCTGAGGTGTATGGGGTTGGTCTGAGCACATTGCCCTTTGGCACTCCGACAAACTCGGGAAATACACTCATTGGTTTAATCATTAATCACCACGTAGCTTTCCAATGACGCTTCAAATGTAAAATTTCAATTTTTTCTGTTTTAAATTTGGTCTTACCATGCTGGTTTGAGGTACATAGACGGCTGGAAAATCTCCAAGTGGGTCTCCTTAATGGGGAAGAAAGGAAGGAGGCCTGTGTAGAAGAGGAGGATTAGTCGGACCACTTGCCTCAACGAGAATAGGAGGTTCACCTTTGGATTCTGAAAAACAGATATCACAATTAATGTACGTGTAGAAACGTTTTGTAAACGAATTTTGCCGTTTTCGAACCAAGAGCGGGAGAACGGAGTTCCCCATCTACGGCAAACGGGGGCAAAGATGGTAATTTGTTCACTCCCGGAAGTCGTGGTGTATCAGGCCATCTGTTGATTCGTTTAATGCTAATTCTATTCTTTAGAGGGAAAAAAGGACGGGCAGGGAAATCGAAACACGCCTTTAAAGCCCGAACCACCTTCAAAATGGCCAAAAACTCGATCCAAGTCGATGGAGAAGACACATCTTGTCAAAGATTTGCAGTTTCGTAGTAAATTAATGGATGAGAGTAGCCATTTTCTTATATTGTGAAAAGGAATTCCTTTAATTTGTCAAACAATACATAATTAATTATCGATTTGAACTAATTAAGCCAAATGGCTCTTCAGATACTTTTAATTGTATCTGCATAATTTCATTTACCAGAATTCGTTTTACGTTCCAATTAACAAAGGTTTTAATTGATGGCATGTGCATACTGTTATTAATTTAAATGTAACTGTGTGACCATTACATTATTCAATTTACGGTTGTCCAACCAAAATATTTTTAAAAAATTTGACTGATTTACTCTTAATTTAAGGTCGATTGAGGGAGTAGTCTAAAAAGTCAAAGTTCAATGAGAATCCTTAATTTTAAGTACTTTTCTTTAATAGGTGGTGTTTTAATATTAAAATACCTGGAGGTAGCATTTGTAGGTGATGTCGTTACTGAAGCTACCCCAGACGGTAATCTCCTCCCTTCTGTGGTTTGTGATCAGCCTGTTGATCTCCCTGATGAGGAGGTCGTTGTTAGCTTTGACGTCGATATTGATCGGGATCGACGGGAACCTTTCGAAGACCTCGTCGAGGAGGGGTATCCGCCTCTCATCTTCTCGACAGCTCCCCGTGAATGAGGACCCTAAAAACCCAGGTTTAATTCGACGGTTTGGAAGAAAGAGATAGAGTGTGAAAGCGGCGTACCGACCTGGGTCGAAGTCGATGGGTAATGTCGTGCTTATCAGCGGCAGGTCGCTGTAGTTGAGCTCGGAGATGTTCTTGTTGAGCCCGGTGTTCCTTAGTAGATTGCTGTCGTGGCACACGACCACCTGGTTGTCTTTAGTCAGATGACAGTCGATTTCCAACATATCCGTGCCTAACGCGATAGCTCTAGAAAATTCACTTGTATAAGAAATATTACTGTAAAAAATAGATAATTAAAACTGAGATCATCATGCCGAACGATGACAATCATGCAAATGGGGTGAAATGAGAAAAACTTGAAATATGTCGTATAGGTTGTTTATTAGCACTCGAGCATAATCTAAATTTGAATAATACCACGTCGATACATGCAGGACACTACTCCAAGGAGGCACTTTAGAAAATGGTGTACGCCAAAACCGTCGACAAAAAGTACATAGTATGCTTCAGAGGCTAGTGCTTGTGGTGTACTCCATAAAGTGAGGGATAAGATCTCATTGAAGAGTTTTTACTGAGCAGGTTCAAGCCTTTGCTTATGTAATGGGGTGCTACAAGCTCATTGGTTGCTGCCTGGAAGGCGGAACCATTGCTGAAGCAGTGGCAACAGTGACACCTTAACCAAAGACAGCCACCACTCTGCTAATGGCTTAATGAATGTGGCCGTAACGTCCTTTAGTATAGTAGAGGATATACTGACGTATGAGTGTTCGTCGTCTAGGTCCTTTATGAGTAGTCGAGTATAATCCAAAATTATAAAATAGCTTCCGGGTATTGTTAGTTGCAAGACACTCCTTTAGAGGACGCAACTTTAAGGATCGTATATGATAAATATTTCAATAAACTGTGTAGACATCGAACTACGAGAAGGAAGTAGACCTGGAGGAACATAATATCAAATTAGTCGTCAGTCAGTCCTTGCTACTGTGACCGTACCGTTCTTTACCAACAGGAAATGACTTTATGGGTGTGTACGTCATTAGGTCCTTTTTTGAGCAATCGAGCATAATCCAAAATTGTATGAAATAATTTCTCGCCAGTCGTTAGTAGCAGAACACTATTTCGACAACAGCGTACGAATAGAGTACTTAACGAAGTAGGTAGACACGGAGACACAGAACATTGTATTAGTCGTCACCTTCTGGCTACTGAGGCTGTTCGGTTCTTTTGGTTGCAGTTGGAAACTACCTTAGAGTAGTCTCGTGGGTCGTTTGTAAGCACTACAGCACTGTTTAAAATTAAGAATTAGCTTCCATGTGGTCATTAGTTGGTTGGCACCCGTTCAAAGCGGCAGATTTGAGAGTCAAGGTCAAAATCAAAATCGTAAATAAACCCCACACGAATAGTACAAGAAGCAGTTCGATATTTAGTCACAGACAGATTTTGTCGTGTTTTAGCTATTGTGGCGGTTCCATTATTTTGGTTACAGCAGAAAACTACTTTATGAGTGTACTCCTCTTTTACAAGCAGTTTATTATAACCCAAAATTCAATTAAATAGTTTCCAGACGGCCGTTAGTCGCAAGTCTGTGAGGCCACAATTTCAAGAGTTATACATCAAAATCGTCGATAAACTGCGTATGGATACAGGAAGAAGTTTCATCCGAGGAAAAAGACTAATCATCTAATGGCTGCTGTACCAGGAATGACTTTATGAATGTACACGTCATCGAATTAAATAGTTCTCGGACCATTGCCATCGACGTTACAGGACATACCTTTGAGTCCGCAGTTGGAAGGACCGTGGACGTAATAACCGTTGACAACCTAGTACAGATTACTACAAGGAGATAGTCCAGGTGTCACGAATATTGCGTTAGTCGTCAGTTACCTTCTGATTACTGTTGCTGTTGAGTTTTTCGGTCTGGACACCTTACCGGTAAGTACGTCATGAAGGTCCTTTACAAACACTACAGCTCAACTAAAATTAGAATTATCTTCCTGATGGTCATTACTTCTGTGCACTCGACGCGCAAGAAGAGTTTGATCCGTAAACACAGACCCATTTTTTGGGGTTGCAGAAAAAACCGTACTTTACTCACCAACGGTGAAGTTCCAACCAATTCCGCTTTTATGGTTTCCAATTTCAGTTTTATTTTATTTGACTTCTGTTTGCCTAGCAACATAAGCTACGGGTTCGTTAACCTCGCAGACATAACTTCACAACTAATATCGGTCATTTCCGATCTTTCTGTCCTCACTTGTCTAGCTTTTTCGTCTGTCCAACTTAAGTCGGCTTTTCGCCATCTTCAGCGGTCGGTTTGCGTGATTTTCCGTCTAGTCGAGGCGCTTTTTAAGTTTTTGTACGTTCAAAGGTGAAAAGGGTGTGCAGTTGTTTGCCTTTGTCTGTCGGCTTGTTTGATGGATTAGGCATGTTTTTTTGGTTGTTTGCTCGGGTCGGTTCATTGTGGTCTTAGTTGCTTTTCTTCTTCTTTTTTCTTTCTTTCCAGCGTGTTTGTCAATTTTCTTCGAACGTGATATTTTATTTCTGTATATTACTAGGTTTTTCAGTATGCACATTTTTCGTACTTTTTATGTTTTTAGTTTAAATGGTAGCATTAGTTATTGAGGTCTGCCTATCCTATAGGCCTCCCAGTCCCTTTTCGTCATTTCCTCATCACGTGTCGGTGAGGATTGTAAGAAGGGTAAGGCATCATATTAGGAATTTATGGACACTGGGCCATCACCTCACAGATATTTCTTTCAACAAACAAGTTACATAGTTGATGAATTCCTACCATTGTTTAACATTAAACAACATCAACATTAAGTACTGATCACAAGAAAAAACCTCACATTCATGTCCAATCAATTTCAGAGTGCCATAACAATAGATGTTCGTATATAAAAGTCTACGTCCCTCTCTTCCTCTTCTCTCACCACGCATGGTACAATAATTTTTCACTGCCCTGTCACGAAGTCGCACGCTAATGAATATGTACTGCAATTTGAAAATGCAGTGGTGAAACTGGGTCCCACTGCTCTAAAACCGTCCTTGCACGCGTTAAAAATATCTTCAGATATCCCTCGTGGAATAAACTGACACACTTAATCCTCCTCAACTCGAAAATACAGGATACTTTTTAGACGTTTACGATTATATATCCAAAATTTATATCACCTTCTGTTCCGGTGTGAACTAACTGTAAAACAGATTAATAAAAAAACCTGTTTTATGTCTGGATTATTCACCGCTACGTGCAAAATTTATATTTAAGTGCACATAGGCATCACAAATAAAAGTGCCAATGCTGAAAAATTTATTGTTGTCATTCATGAACACATGGAAAAGTGACCAGTCTCGGTTCTAGATTGCCTAGAAGAACCACAACTTTGGTCTGTTCTAACTTTTAAAAGGGTTAAGAATGTAACGTCGCCGAATCGTTGGGTCTACCTCGTTCCTTAAATCGTCCAATTTTGCCATGTACAAAGTAGCATAGACTTTCATGAGGTGGTTGAATAATGGTGAACGTTCTCTGTTGCACAATGGTAATGAATGATAAGCATATCAAACTCAAAACTTGGCGTGCTGAAAATTGCCTTTTTTGCCACATTTAGTAAATAAATTTTTTATAGCAATTATACTATTTTTGAGTCAAAGTGCGATAAAAATTTCGTTAAAAATTTCTTTTTTCCTGGAAAAGTGGATGACATCAGAGAAAAGTTCGACAGTAAACAATGACGTCATCTCTTCCTGGTTACAGATCAACCAAAGTTACTGATTTTCCGATCCCGCGTCAAAACCTCACCAAAACATAACAAAATTTTTTTAATATTCTAATTAAAAAAAACGCAGGAGGGAAGAGGTGAATTAAGTCGATAGGTGATCCGTGTGGGGGGGACTGATTGACTATTCTCGTGTTAACAACGGGATAAATAACAGCGAAAAGGGAGAAGGGAGGTGAATGGAAAACTAGAGAAAGAAAAGATTCCGTGAGGTTAGTCTTAGACGTTTCTATTTCTTTTGTGTATTTGAGCATGGTTCTATTTAATTTGAGAGAAAAAATACATTAATTTCACCTTCACAATGGATTCGACGTGAAGAAAGAACAGGCAAAGGGAGAAAACAATAACATCAACACATTATTGAATTGTCCTAGTTTTGGAAGATTCCAGATGAGGGACCAGGGGATGCAAAACCGACATAAAAACAGGGATCGAGTTCGATCAGGAGCATTCACGTCCTTCTCAGGGAAAGGCGAGCACTCAACGTTTTTGTCAGTATGAAAGGTTAACACAAAGGGGTAACAGAATGGGAGGGATAAAAGTTTTTTAAAAAATTACCTTTTAAAGGCTGTAATCGTATTTTCGTAATTTTCTCCAGCCCCTGTAAAATAAAGGAGCTCGCTCAAAACACGTGAACTGAGTAAAAATGGTAAAAACTATGATGACGGGTAATTACCTCCGCGATGGCTGATGTGCCTGCAGGTGAATTTGATCTTCTTCTTCCTGTAGAGGATGGTCGGGTTGCGGAGCAAGATGACCGAAGTGACGACGTAGCCGCCGAAGAGGGCGATCAGAATCTGGACGGAGTTGTCCAACATGAGGCCGCGGAAGAGGAGCGAGTGCCTCGGGCCTAACCTGGGTCGAGGTCGGGTATGAGGCGTCGGCGATGAGGTCGGAAGAAGACTGAGAGGGGGTCACGACCGAGGGCGGCCGGCCACTGAGAGCCGCGGGTCTCCTCCACCGCCTCCTCCGCCGCCCCCGGAGGCCCCTGCCACCTGCCGGTTCCTAGGAGTACTCGGTGGACGAAACCCGCGGCCGCAACGCGAAACACCGCGACCCGCCTCTCTATCGATTCGACGACGGACGCCGTCGGAGGAAAACCGCCGTCAAACATTCGCTTTTGAAGTTGGAACATTCCGTCAAGTTGGAACACGTTCTTCCGACTCACCACACTGACAAGCGAAAAATTCCACCCAATTGATATGTTTTTTCCATAAAATAAAATTCTGCCCTTAATTTGTCATGTTATTTTTGCCCATAAATATTTGTTTATGCTTTTGTTTTAAATTGGGAATATCAATTAGAGGAAAAGACACTCAATCCTTAATCTAAAACAAGCCTCTATCGATTCGACGACAGACGCCGTCGGAGGAAAACCGCCGTCTCAGATTCGCTTTTGAAATTAGAACACTCCGTCAAGTTGGATCACGTCTTTCCGAATTAATACACTGACAGGAGAAAAATTCACCCAATTGATTTTTTTTTGTCCATAAAAGAAAATTCTGCCGTTAATTTGTCTAACTGTGGAGTATGAGATGGTGTAAGGATGTCCTTGAGCATGAACAGCAAGCCCGGGTGCCAAATTCGATCAACAGCTTGGCTTATGTCAAGAAAGAAATCCCTTACTTTACAGAATTTAAAATGTTTGTTTATTCAGCTCATTTGATTTCTGAAGCAATAAACTTTTCATCTTTGTTTTCTTAATTTCAAATTTTAAACTTAAAAATGCCACTTGGTGCGGAGGATGTTGCGCGTGGTGTGACGCTTATTGATGATAGACGTTCCATCAGATATCCGGCTATAGCCATCGGAGTTCCCTACGAAACTCTGTGTAGATGACGTTAGATGTTTTCGAGAAACTGAGTCCTAACATAGAAGGCCCGGTTCTGGACGCCCTAGGGTAATAAAACCACAGGATGATTTTTTGACTTTGAGCATTTTGCGAAACCGGTACCTTACTGTTATTCAAGCGATTCATCAGCTCCAGGAACTTCGAGGTGTCCAAATTTCTAGACACACTGCTCGAAAAAGATTATCAGTATGGATTGATGGCAGTATGGTCTTGGACGATTGGTCTGCTGTACTTCTTACATATCAGTGAAGATTTGTCCTACGATCTCCAGATGGGCGTGAAAGAATGTAGAGAAGGCGAAATGAAAGGTCCGATGTCTCTAATTTTTCCCAGAGCTTCAACGTAGCTCAATGGTGGTGTTGGGAGGGAATTTCACTGGAGAGTCCCACAGAGCTGGTTGTTCTTCGTGGGGGGGGGGTCTTTGACGTCCACTCGCTATGTGGATGAAATTTTGGAACAACATGCGTTGCCTATCCTCGATGAAATCAGCGACAATCCTATTCCAATGCACGATAATGCCCGTCCACATGTCGCTCGCATAGTACAAACTTCAACAGCATAACAACAGGGTCTTAGCCTGGCCAAGAGACATTTGCAGACTGGTAGAAAGTTGATTGTGAAATGTTAATTAAAAATCTAAAACCAAATTGGAACAAATTGTATCTTTTTTTATTTTTCATTTTCCTTAGCAATTTACATTTTTTTTAACTTTTTTAGAAAAAGACTTAATTATTAAACGTTAAAAAACGTGAAAGTGATTAATATATAAAAATAAATACAAATCAAGTCATATTACAAGTGGGTGGAATTTTTTGCCTGTTAGTGTATTTTGCTTTTTCAAATGAAGTACAACGAGACTTGCGTGTCGTACCCATTCCTGACTCATATCGTCCCACGATCCCAAGTTCATTTCATCTATCAACTCGAACCGACGTCATTTTATTTTTTATTTTACTGATCATTTTAGTCTGCCTATCATCTTTGTTTCTGGTCTGTCAAACTTCGGAGACAAAAACTTTCGAATATAAAACCATAAAAAAACTGTTTTACCTTTGGACACCGTAAGACCGACTAGGAATGGATACTACCTCAAGCCATACTCGCAAAACATTTTTTTTTTTAGATTTCCCCAAAATTATGGCATGTATTGGTTTGTAATATAATCCCGTAGCGTTTTTCAATAATTTGTTTCCTTCTTGAATTTTGAAACAATGTTCTTTTACACATTATTTTTTGCACATTCTCAAATGGGAATTCAGATGTTTTTACTCGTCAGTTTCGGTCGAAATCACCTATTTTGACTAGGCAGTTTGCTTTTAAAACGGAAGAAAAATAATGCATTTTTGTCTTTAATGATTTTTCACTGTTGCAAAAAGAAAACCGCAGCTCAGACTCCTAGTGAAATTTGTATGGCGATGGCACTAATGACGCTTTAGAAAAACAAGCACGGTCCATAAGTGCGTTTCTTGGTACAGAGGCGGAAATTTTGATTTGGAAGGCGCGAGGCGCTTTGGTTATCCATCACTGTTGATGACCAAATTCTAGTTTTTGTCACAAGTAACCTACACACTTAACAACACACGGTATGGATAGCGGAAAAAGCATAATTGGATAGGGATAGAGATAAGGATAAAAGAGGTGGCCACAAGGCTTACTGCATCTCGACCTGAATAGATCTATTGTGCTCCCCTAAGCATCATTGGAAAAAAAGTAAATCAGTTGTAATAAGGTCAGTCAGCCAGTTTCTATCCACAAACCATAACTAACAGTGAAGCATATTCTTACTGTCTATATTCGATTTGTGCCGGAAAGGAGTGCATGTGGTGTTTCGGGTAGTTTGGGACAGATCTTGACAGATGATGTACACATTAGGGTTTGTCCTTTAGATTTGACGATTAACTCGATAACTGCCTGCGTCTTGTCGATTATTTATTTTCTCGTTTGACCTTCGATTACAACAACTAGGTCGTCCACAAAAGCTACCAACTTGTAACCCCTTTCTGTCAGTAGTTGAGAACACCTAGGTATGCAAGTCGGAGCAAACACACGTTGACTGAGAAGAATTTATGGCACCACATTTCCATCAGCGATTCCCTTCTAAAATACAATGTAAACGACCCATTTTTAAAAAATATCCAAAGTATTGATAACCGGGGTTGTTAAATGGGTCCTATACAACAATTTCGGAGAATAATATCTTAGGAAAAACGCAGCGACCCACCGATAGTTGACAACTCTAAAAGTTACGTTTCAAGATCGTGTGCATTTTGTGGGATTGGAAAGGGGTGATTTATTATGCCCAGTGAAGCTTTTGCAGGGATTTGTGCAACCAATTTATTTATTTTATTTAACAGCCAAAGAAATAAAGAAAAGCGAAAGAGAAGGTGATGGATGTGGATCTATTGGCAGAACACACATTTTTAGACAAATTGACCATAACGTCTCCAACTGATTCAACTATGTTGATCTTTTCTGTTGTTCGACACATTACACATTTTTTAATACACAAAAGTGCAAGACCGGCAACGATAAATATTTACTCGATAATAATCGATTTTACTTTCTGGGCTGCGAAATTCTTGAGCTCCAGATCCGTAGAAATGTGTAGGCGCGGCAAATCCGCTACTGACCTACAACTGGTTTTTAGGAAAGGCAGGCTGGATTTTGCGGCAACTTTTTTTCACCACAGGAGGTCATTGAACCTGATCATCTTAAGTCATAATTATTTAATTTACAATTCGAACCCAAAGGCAATGGGGTGTGTGATACCTCTGCTATCGCATTTATGTGTTCTGTTTTAGACTGATTACTTTCTATTAACTCTTAAGAATTTTGTTTTTTGTCTACGTATACACAATAATGTATATTAATAATCGAATTTATTTAGAAAAGATATCTCTGTAAACGTTAACAAAAGAAATTTCAATTTAATCCGTCAAACGGTTTCACTGTCGAGGGCATCCACCTCATAAAGAAAACCAAAGGTTTTCCATTCTAATTCCATGTTAGTCGGCTAAAATTTTTATTGGTGAGTCAGCCAGAGGTACATCCATTTAAAAATGTGCTGACAACATTTTTTTTCGAATGAAGGCGTCAGTTAACTTCGATAAGTAGATAACAACCAAGCCACCTACTTTCTCCGCTGATACCCCTCAGGAATCGGTAGTAAAACAAAAGTACTCATTACTAATATCGAAAGACGTGATTGATACTTTAAAAATAAGTTCCTAAAAGTTGAAGATAAAGTTAGAAATAAAAACAAATATTACCACGTGCATTTCGGGGGCACCTGCCCAGTTTAAGAAGAAGGAAAATAACTTTATTCTGGGACTAGTGTCCCCTAATAATAATGTACATGAAATAAATAAAGGAAGTTCCTTCTATGAAATTAAAAATAAAATAAGATAGAAATCTTGGCACAATGAATACCAGTAAGGCAGGACAGAAGAAAGAATAACAAGAATTAAATTTTGTTTATTAAATATCAAATATTAACGTAAAGTCTCTGCTTGGAGGGAGAGGAGGTGATTATACAGATGGGATTTAAAGGAGGAAAAGGAGGCAGCGGGACGAATAGAAAGGGGAAGGGAGTTCTAGAGTTTAGGTGCTCGGGTCAGAAAGAATCTTTCAAAGGTATGGGTTGTTTGGTGCTGAAGGATAAGGTCACTTGGGGATGAGCGGGTGTTACGAATGTGATGTGCGGAGTTGATTTGGAGAGATTGGGTGATGTAAGAGTGGATGGGCCGGAAAGAAAGCAGCCTAAGAAATACTGTGCACGGAAGGAGGGGTAGAGCCAGGAAAGTCGGGAATACAACCCCGACACCCGGGACCCCCGTGGGACGCCGAACACGAAACTTACACAACAATTAATGGGTGGGATGCTGGGGAGGGAATTGAGGAGTTGCCTGGACCCGGTAATTATGGCGGTGGATTTGGAGGGATTTAAGACTAGGGAATTTTTATGTGCCCATTCGTTGAAGGAGTTTAGGTCTTTTTGAATCTTGAGATTGGCTAAGTGAAGATCGGAAGGGTCGAAAGATATGGTTATTTGAGAGTCATCAGCGTGTAGGTGCCAGTTACAGGAGTCGGGAAGGTCGTTGATATAAATGGAAAAAAGGATAGGAGAGATGCTAGAGCCTTGGGACACCCCAGA